TGTTCTGAGCTGCTAAAAGACACACACAGTCAAATAAATGTACTCTGTAACATGAGCTTTTCAGGGAAATACTTCAAAAGAGACAGCAGCAACACCAGAAACTTGTCTCTGCAGCAAGACAATATATGTCACCACTGCACTTTACCTACCAGTTTTCCCTTTCCCCTCCTGTGAAGCCAAAGTGAGTTTGTACTCAAGTGTGTGATCTCACTCTTCACACCTCTTCTGCAACTAGATTCTCAAAGCAAGACTTTGCTTTTGCTGCTTGTTGAGGCTGAATTACCTTCTTTTTAACCCCCTCCATCACACTTTTCCCATGACCTACCTGCACAACGTGGCACTTGCATTGGAGGTCGTTAAAGTGCTGTTGGTGCTTGGCTGACAGGAACTGGCACTCCCCTCCTGTGCTGCTGGTCGGATGCTCAGTGTCCCATCCTCTCGGATGTACAGCCCAGCACTTGAAGGGTTTGCAAAGGTGGAAATAAATGGGCCAAGGGACTGGAAGGCAGCCTGACGGACCTGAGGGGGGACAGGGACAACAGTAAGGCTTCAGCCAACACCCACTAAGGTGAAAAATAAACATTTGGGGCAATTTTTAGTAAGAACCAATTGGTTCTTACTCTAATAGCTTCATTTAATACCAAATATAATCACCACAGAAGTGACACCTAAGCAAAGGATGTTATAACGTTAAACATTTATCTGCAATCGCTGTATGGAAATTTTTTTAAGTGATAAATTTGAAGGGCATCACTGTCTACTTCAACTCAACCATTTAATACAAACAACCTTTTTCTCAGAAGAGTATTTACACTTATAAACTGTCGATAGCAACTCGTAAGTATAAGAGAGGTAAAAATAAGACACTGTCTTACTAGAGGAGATTAGGTTTTAGTACACTAGACTCTCATTTCAGCAAATTCACTCCAGAGAACTTGCAGTGCACATTTCTGGCCTGCCCATTATTTGTGCAGGACCTGCCTGGGAAGATACATCAATGCTGGAGTGAGTTACTTACCCATCTGCAGGTGTCACTGATAAGACTGATGAACAGTGGGGACAGTTTGCTTCTGCGCACTTCTGGGGACGTGGTGTAAGACACTGCCATAAAGCACTCGGCACAGGCTTTTCTCATTCCCCAAACACTATCAGAACAGAGTTCAAAGAACTTGGGAATCTGCCAAAATAACAAACACCAAGACTAACTAAAGGCTATACAAGACTGAAGTAACTTACTAGCAAGGTGTGTTTGAAAACTGGAGATAATGAGAACTCAAAAGAGAACCCAGTAAGTGAAGAACAGAGGAAACAGAGACAGGTTAAGTACATATACTAATTGAAGGAACTAGAAAAAGCCTATTTGAATCTCATTTACTGCACTAGGATTTTGTGTATAACTGTAATAAGAAACAATTATTAATAGCCTATTTTTCCTAAGTCTTAATCTGATTGATCACCTAGTTCAAGGATGAAAGAAAGTCAGTAACTCTCAAGTGTGTATAAACACATACATATGTGTGTCTATATATATATATATATATGTATCTGCTGTCGGTTACATTTTAAAGATGCTTTGTAAAACAACAACTTTGCATTTCTCTTCATTCCCAGTTTCGCTGTGTAATTGCAACCAGGGCCTTAGCCAAATCAATTAAAACATGCTGCACACTGATTAATTTATAGAGAAGACAATAAAAGAACTCATTATTAAACCTTCTGAACTGAGGAATATGAGCCTTGCAAATGGATTTGGGTTTTACATACCAGCAGCCTTTCTGTGGCTTCTTGCCCAACTGCATTACAAATGTCACCAAAATTAGCTGCACAAATCTAAGAAATTAAAAAAGTCATTAATAACACTGTGACTCTTTCAAGGGCATTAGTTTTATTCTCCACCTCCCCATGCATTATTTATCCCACAAAACAACTGCACATGTTTTGACTCTTCAAATTTCGGCCATGTAACTACATCATGTAACACTAACTCATCCTGAACAAAGACTCATTAGCCAAGTGTTCATACACCAAATGCCTCTGGAAACAACAGCAATAAAGGTGCTGCATGAAGAGCATCATCCACTCCAGTAACCACTAGAAGGGACAATAACCCTACTTGGAGTTTCAATTACTTTGAGCAGCAGCTGTGAAAGCCACAGCAGGGTAACACATGATACAAGGGTCAGGACTTAGGTGTACTGACAGCACTATCCCTGCTCTGGCTGAAAGTGGCTTAAGTACTTTGCTGAAGAGAAGTTTAATCAAGGTCTCAAGTTAGTGCCATTTACTGTCCGTTACAGAAGCTATAATTAAGGTCAAAGGGACATCCCCTCATCTTGGAAAAAGGTGTTGCCAAAATGTGAAGTCAATTAAGACAGGACTGTGTTAATACACACTTTCTCCATTCTACATGCTGATTTAGAAGGCCATAATGCAGCTCAAATTCCAACCAGTGCAGCTTATGTTACAGACCCAGCTGAAGCTCTGTGTGACCCTTAAGTCTACTCAAATATTTTAAGACTTCTTATGCTACAAGTTTCCTTTTGTACTCAAACATTAATTCAAGTAAGTCTTACACTTCTGGGATTTCTCCCTTCAGTAACACCAGAGTTTTAATTATATCTTTTTAAAGGCAGAATGTCTCAAATGTCTGTAACTTTTGAGAGTCTAGTTTTTAAACAAGATGCTAGAGATGAGCTAACTTGTTTGCATCCTATAAGCAAGCCCAGCAGCTTAAAAACAAAGGTTGTGCAAACCTATTAAAGATCAGTTTAACTGCTAGACCAAAGCTATTCACCAACGCCTGAGAACTGACCCTTACTGAACTACAGAAACTATAACTGTGTCAATACACTAAAACTTCCAGGTGCTTTCAAAGTTCATCAGCTGAAATTATGACTAAATTACTCAGGAAAGCATTTGAACAGCAACATACAAATCCATTCTTAAGTGGCTTAGGGCTGGAAACACACCAACCTTTCGGACTTGGAACAGCTTCCCATCACTGCACAGCTCACAGAAACGAGGGAGCAGCATGTGCTCAACTGTTGTCCTGCTCAGCATTGAAGCCATTTTACAGATTATCTGGAAATCAGGAAAGGGATACGTGTAAGGAAAAGGAAATTATAAAGCTTGTAAGCACAGCCAAATATTCCTCCCAAGAATTACCTCAGACAGCAATTACCATCACACAGATTTAACTGCTACACAGCACTAGTAGTTCTATACACCTGTTCCATGTGAAGCACAACTGTGGCTTTTATTTTACATCATTCTAAGACATTGTGCCTGAATGTTTCTGCATGTAACTCACTGGGTTTTTATCTGGTAACATAGACTTTTATCACTATATTCATTTTCCAGGTGTTTGCAGGGTGGCACACACTGGTATTTCAAGCGGAGAAGACATAGCTCCATTGCACCCTATAAAAATCAGAGTCCTGAAGGACATCAGAAGTATCTCAAGCTTCAGCATGCAAGTTAGCATTGTGCTTTACCCATTCAGCACAGTCCCAGCTCTTTATGGGCTCAGACACCACAATAAAACAGAAGTTTGCAATGCAACAGGAGAGAAAAAGGAGTGCAAGAAAAACTAGTTATATATGTGAGGCAATGCACAGCTTACAGGACTGATCCTCAGGAATTTTAGGAGTTAACATTGCACAGTTAAAGGAAGCTAGTAACAAGCCCAGTAATCCATTAATTCAGCTTTCTCTGACAAACTGTCAGTTTCCACTATCATTACAAATCATGTGCTTTGGTATGTTTCCTTTCAGCTCTCACCTTCTGGGACAAGTTGCTGTAAGAAGCAAAGGGCTGCCATGCACCTTTGTACTCTTCTCCTGCAGCACCAGGACTTTAATGCTTACACAAGTGTTGTCAGATTAACAGCACACTTATTTCTATTTTTATTTTTCCAAAAAGACTGAAGCTTTAGATGAGCTTTATTCTTAGAAACCTTTGCCTTGGTAATAGAATGCTAAATAAGAACTAGGGAAGACACATTTCAAGGACTTCCCCACAAATTTTCAAACTCCTAAAAAGCATCTGGTGCTCAGATGTCACCCTGGAAAACTGCCTAAGCAACTCCCAACTCCCAAACAAGGAAGAAGAAAATCTAGCTGGTAAAATATTTTACAGGTCAAGTGTCAGATATCTGTGCTGAAATGTAATTACACACCAGCACTTTTCTGTGGAGTCAACTGATTTCTTGAAAGTCACCAGGCAATGTTGTTTCCAAAACACTTCAGAATTAAGATCAGGTCATCACTCACAGTTCTACAACGTTGCTGTGAAACCTGGTAGAGCCAATGTAAAAACTGCTGGGGAACAAGAATTAAATCAAGGCTGCAAAGAACCAAGTACATCTTAAGGTTATTTAGCTACCATGTTGACATCCTTTAGCATCCTGAAACATACAAATGGTCTCTTCAAATCTGCTGTTTTCAAAGACTTGTTGTGGTAAACTAAAAACCCAAATATCTAAAGGAATGAATACAAAAGGTCTGATTGCTTATTTCATGTCAGAGCTTTTCCTGGAACTCATCTTAACTGCCACTATAAATTACTGCTATAAACTTACGTTCACAGCCTCCACCTTGTACTCATCATCACTGTCAGGGGCAGAGAGGTCCAGCAGGATTGGACACACCTTGTTCTCAATGTCACTCTGAGCCACAAGGTCCTGTTCCAGCAGTATCAGCAGTGCTTCCTGCCCTGCCTTCCTGACCTATAAACACAAGTACACAGAACAGGCACATCACTATAAAGACAGCATTTACTGACACACAGACAACAACATGTTTCAATGAAAACCCTCTCCATTTTAACATCATAAGGAACTAGTAATAAATGCTAAATTTTAATATAATCACTAAATGACATTTCATCTAATTCTGAGGAGAAACCAAAAGATGAAGCAGAGGGAAGGACTAGCAAGTCATGACTCCTGTAACAGACCCTGTCCACATGCTGCAATTTCCCTTTACCTGCTAAGGGAAGCATTAAAACTCACCAGCCCTCCCAGCAAAATGTGCTGAAACCAATAAACACAGAGCACTACACAAAACCAGGTATCAATCAACATGGAATTTCCTGTTATCTCTTCCTCATGCCCTAAATTCACTGCACCACACAGAATTTTCCGACAATTGAACTCCTGTTGTCTGGTTTTCCCACCTGATTGTTAACATCTGTGAGGTATCTCACTACTATGGGCATAAGGTATTCAAAAAATGCTGCTGGGAATTTTGGTCTGCTTTCTTGCAGGAAAATGGCAATAGGAGGTATTTGTTCCATCAGCTCTGTACGTACAGTTGGCTCTGGAAATAAAGTCAGAACTACATTAGTAAACAGCAAATTAAGATTAAGTACCTTAAGAAAAAAGTAACATTTTTCTTTCATGTTTTCACAAGAGAGGAAAATGGATATAATCAAAACCTAGAAATTGCACCACGGAGATTGCCTGCTCTTAAAGGAACCAGAGAATAGCTTTACATACATCATCCCAGTTCAAGCGCTTGGGACCAGCTCCCAAAAACACCAGGTAAGATGAGAGCACTGCCTGGAACATCCAGTCACCACAAACATAGGCACACCAAGCACTAAAATACACAACTGCTCTGTGCCACCTACACCACACAGTCAGATGTACTAATTTCTAGAAATATATTACTTTAGGCCCCACACTAAGCCTTTCATTTAACATCTTATCTACCAAGGCCCCACACTAAGCAAGAGCCTTTCATTTAACATCTTATCTACCACACAAAAATACAAACACAGAAATAATGAACCTTGTTTTCACAGAGAGATCTTGCTGTTAGATTATTTAGTTTCCTTAGTTTACTCATTGCCTTCTCAAAATTCAAAGTTATTAATTTCTGTCTTCCAGCTTATCTAAAATAAATTACAAAAGTTCAAAACACAAACAGAACTTTCAAACCTGCATCTTCAGAGAGCCTGACCATTATTTCCATTACAGTCAGGAAGTCTTCTTCATTGCTACTGAAATCTCGAAAGACATCCAAAAGGCCTCGGGCAATAATTTGCCTGTGGAGTGAACAAAATGTTAATTGCCTTAACACCCAGCCAACCACATGTGGATGGGATGCAGGGGAAACTCATCAACTGTAAACGGGCACCTTGGAAAAGATCAAGCTCTTCTCTGCACATTCTACATCCCAACAAATCAGAGATGGAACCCAGAGATCTCACTCACACAACCAAGAGTGAAAACCTCTTTTCATGGAAGTGTTATACAGAAGTTACTCAAACAGAAATAGTATGAGGAGGATAATGAAAGATGCAGTGACACCTTAACATCCACAGTGCTGTGAGACTCAGTTACCATCAGGTGTGGCTGCTGTACCTGTTAAAGATGTTGTCACTGAAGGCATATTTCTCTAGACGAGCCAGGGGAGTTAAGTTATCCTGTCCAGGAATATCCAGGAATGCTGTTATCCTCATGCTATCACAGTCTGGTCCATAATCTTCAAATCCAACTTGAAAGACAAGAAAAGTAACCCAAAAGAAGAAAACATCCAAGAGTCAGCAAGAGATGTTACAGTGTAAAGTACACGGTATCAATAACTATTCAAAATAAAAGCATTTGCACATCACTGGAAGCAGATTAAAGAGAACCTTAAGTTGCATTAATGAAGTGGGAAATGACAATTGCATATAGACCTGCAAACTCAAGCTCTGACATTGAATTCAACTCTCAAAATCCTTGGCTTGAAACACACTTCAGCCTTGGAGTGGACTGAGCACATGCACAGAGTGAGAAGCTAACACCACTGCATGCCACAAACTGAGCCACACATTCAACAGGAAAACAAGGCCCACTGAAAGAAATGACATTTTAACAGCCACAAACCCCAACCTGCAGTGCTTTAAACCAGGGGATTCTTGGGTCAGTTTCAAACCTACCAAGTGACACTTTGCTCACCGTAGTTACTGGGCCCATAGATCCAACTCAGACTGGGAGCTTTGGGAAAAACTTCCAATGCCACCACACCTGAGACCACACTGGGAGCTTTCTCCTCCAGATCTATCTACAGACTTTCCCATGTAAACCTGCTCTTACCTATACCCTTTTTGCATTTGTAGCTTCAGACTTTTACCCAAATATTACCATCCCAACTGTTAAAACACCTCCCCAAGTGCCACAGTCACCTAACCCAGTAACCATCACAGACTACAGGCAGGAGGTAAGACTGAACAGGAAAGGGAATAGGGTAACTTTGCTGCCAAAGAGCCCTGAGCCTGCAGCACACAAACACCCTCATTCAGCAATGGGTATAGGAACACCCACACAAGAGTTGCACTGGAGAGCTGATGTACCCCCAGAACTATGCACACTTCTTTCACACATTTATAGTGTCTGTGACCATATTTTATTACATGCAAATTGTGCCAACACAGCTGCTCACAGGCATGAAGTATCCTCACAAACCAGCACACCTGCTGAGTGACAACGACTGCAGACAACAAGCCAGTTCTTGGCTCTAAACTACATTAATACTCATCAAAAGTCACTTTTTATGTTTAAAACCCTCTATTACTGAGAGGTATCAAAGCCTCAGGTTTTTCCAACAGAAAAATCCCTGTTTCTTATATAAAACTGTGCTTTTCAATTACTTAGCATGAGTCAAAACACTCAGAAATACAGCTCAGTTAAAGAAAAGCATACTTGGAGCAAAATGTTCTACCTGGGTCTTCAGGAACAAAAGCAAAAGCAGATTGGGTTTGGGTTTCCAGGGAAGTCAAACAAGAAGACTAGAGGAATTCCAGTTCTGCTGTTCTTGCAGACAATATGCTCAACCAGTTCAAGGGAATTAAAATAGAAGCAAACTGTGGGATTAGAATAAATGTTCACATCTCAAGTTAACACACAGATACTACAGTGAACCCACAGCTACATCATCAGAAACAGATGATTATTCATGGCCTTTTAGAGTGATGTCATATCACACTGACACCTTATTCCCACTCCACTGGTCACTACTATTGCTCCTCACAGAAGGGTCTGTTGGGTTCAGAACACTGATCAGCACAAGTGCTTTACATTGCACAATCTGCCTGGGATAAATCTGCTCCAGGACTAGCTTTCCCCAAAGAGGGAACATCCAGATTTGCTGCTCCATGAGAAGTCTCATGTACCACTGGGAGCTCACAGGGAGTTCCAGTGCATGTAGGGTTACAGATTTCCTGAGATGGCAATAACCTCTCTATACACAAACCCAGCTCTGACCATCCTTATATCTACACAATTATAACATGTATCTAAAATCCACACAACTGAATACTCACTGGCTAATTTGAGGCTAGTCCCCTGTTACGCACAGATGTGTTAGGGCTTAAAAGCAAATTGGAATCAATATACTTGTCCTTAACTTCACCTAATTCCCACCTGTCCCCAATTAGAAACCCTCTGAAAATGGAGGTTTTTATCAGCTCACTTCAAATAGATCAGAATTCCTACCAATTCCAGTGACAATGAGCTAAATCTCAACTCTGAGCCTGATACCACACCACACCTGGGGCTAACTTTGTGAACGTGATGAACATGATTAATTTTACCACACAGAGCAGCTCTATTATTCATTTAAATCCCCTAAGCACACACCAGTGCTGCTAGGACCAGAGACAAAACAGAGCACAACTACTTAATGCTCAGGATCAGTTAAATACCTGGAATTTTTTCCACATGCTCTCACTACATGTAAGTAAGGAATAACCATGGCAGAATCCATTTTGTCTTCTTTTCCCATAAAGTAAGAAGTCACAGGTACTCACAAGTTTTAGAACACACCAGAGTACTGTAAAGTAATGAACTAGTATTTAACTTGTCTGATGTTCTTTCACAGACGAATCTAACACTGAGTGTTTTTCCCTCTAACAAGACTGAGGTCTGTGCACCTCTGAACAGGAAGGAGTGTGACAGCACTCACAGCTGCACTCGTGCTCACCATGCCTCAGCCTGACCCAGGCCCCAAAGCTGCTTAGAGCCTCTAAGAAACTCAGGTCACAGGATCTAACAGTGCGACTCAGTGTCACAGCCAGGATCACTGCCCAGTTTGCAACACAAACCAGTAAACACTGGTGCAAAGTCCAACGATTTAATGAGCTCAAGGAGGTTGTTCTCTCTCATGGTGTTTGGAGAAGGAAAAACAATTTCTAAAATCCTTTTTATCGTAGGAAGGGCATAAATAAGCTAACCATTTTTCCAGATGATCCAAAATCTCAGTTTACAAAAAGCAAGTTTCAAACAGCACTTGGATTTAGGCAGATTTTACTGCAGCTTTCCCCACATTCAGAGCCACCTCTGAAACTCTCCACTTGTCTCAGTGGAACTGAATTCAGTGTGCACATAACCTATTGCACCAGGTTAGTTAAAAATCCAGCTCCCCTGGTTTGTTTCCTAAAACACACCACGGACTCTTTACTCCCTTGGTCACTGGATCAGCACAGAATCCCAGACTAGATGAGACACCTGAACTCTGCTACACCACAGAGACAACATCTTTGGAGTCTTTAATCCTAACTGCACTGTCCAATTAATAACTTTAAGTATTTTTGAAGCATAAACCAAGATTTCAATAAAGGCACATTTATTTACAAGCTCATCCTGAAACTGACAATTTTCGTTAATTACTACTCAGGGTAAAACCTTCTTTATATCTGGAGGTTTTTAAAAACTAGTTTCTCCTGAGCATCAAACTTCTTCAAGGACTTTAAATCCATCACTCACAATCACAGCAGAGCAGCCAAAACCTAAACACTAACGAAGCACCAACACTCCTAGCCATGGTCACCCTTGGTCCAAGGCTAAAACCCATAACAGAACTATTAACTTTGGATTTATTTCTGCTGTTTGCACTTGCTGCTACCAGTGAAGAGCAGGAACCTCAAAGACTGAGAGCAGCAACAGAACATCTCCTCCCTGCAGAGACAACATCCCTGAGCACCTTTCCAGTGGAAGACTTGGTCTCACTTGTGCTCTAAAACACTTCCCCTGGTGTTTCTGAAGACCTTGTTCTTCCTACATCAGCTTTCCCATGCTCAGCTGTGTGGCTGGGATGGATCCATGAGCTGCACATTTTCAAGTGCTATTAAACAGTAACTGTGACAACAAAGTCTCTCATCACAAGGAACAAACTCAAGTACCAGTTTTTGGGTTTTTTTTTACACAGAAAAGTCCATCCAGCAGCCAAAGCACCAACGAAACCAACCCATGTAGAAAGATGTTTTCTGAGAAACAGAAGTTCATACTGTTACACAAAGCTTTATCTCCCCAGGTATTAGTGCTCACCAAGCTGTCTGGGGGGTGCTCAGCTCTGGACTGTGGTATCCAGATTTGACATGAAGCTGTTGCTCTAGGACCCACCACATGGCACTTAACCCCAACCCACCACCTCGTGAGCCAACCTGAGCACACCCAGGGCACTTTTCCCTTCACCCCATCCCCATCCCGTGCCATGGGATGCAGGACCAGACCCGCACAGCATCCTGCAGAGACTCACCTGTACAAACCACACCTGGACAGCCCCTGGGCTAATCCCACACCCAGAGCAGGACTAACCCCCCAAACCACATCCACCAGAGTGACCACGGGCACTGCTGGAGCTGCTGCTGCCACCAACCCCAGCGGGAAGGTGCCCTCCATCCCCACCCTGGGTCTGTGTGTGTGTGCCCCACACCCCGAGGGACACACAACCCACCCCTAAACCCCGAGCCCTGCACACCTTCCACCTGCGAAAAGCCTGCCCCGGGCACGGAGGAGAGAGCCAGGCCAGGCACGCGGGGGTGGGATGGAGAGTGTGAGGGCGAACCCTTAGAGCAGTGAACGTTAAGAACCAAAAAACCCCCAAACCAAAACAACAAAACAAAAACCAGTTACTCACAATCATCTAAGTCATCCTGCAAATCCACAAAATACAAAGGGATCCCTATAAAGGACAAAAACAAAAAAACAAAAATAGGAGAGAGAGAGAGACAGAGAGCAGGGCGTTGGTTCGGGAGGGCAGCGAGGCGAACCGCGCCGCCCCCGCCCCGCACTCACCGGCCATCTTGCAGCGACATGGGCGAGGAGGAGCAGCGGCAGGAGGAGGAGGAGGAGG